GCTGTGGCCGTAAGGTCTTCGGTGCCTGTCGTGGTGGCAATCCTCGAACCCGGTGGTGGACACTGGAAGTAAGGGATGCCGTCAAGCTGAAGAAGGAGTCCTTTCAGGCCTGGTTGGCTCGTGGAACTCCTGAGACAGCGGACGGGTACCGGCAGGGCCAAACGGGCGCCGGCTCGGGGGGTGGAGAGGTCTGGGAAGAGTTCGGTGAGGCCATGGAGAAGGACTATCGGTCGGCCTTGAAGAGATTCGGGCAAACTGTCTGGCGCCTCAGGAGAGGGGAGCAGTGCCCTGCCAAAAACTGTTTACAGTGGAGGTGGGCAGCTGTTGGCCTCAACTGGGGACATTGTCGCACGGTGGAAGGAATAATTCAAGGATCTCCTCAATCCCGGCGCCATGTCTTCCAATGAGGAAGAAAGTTATATTAGAAAAGGATTTTATCTAAAATATCCAGTTATTTACTTGTTACATAATACACACTATTCTTTAAATATCCTAGCCTTAATAACATTTGAGGTCAACTAAATACTGTGCAAAACAAATATGGTCTTAAGTGTCCAGTGACACAGCTTTCATTGGTTATTTCAGACTATATTTAACACTTCCTCAAAGAGCCAGAGTATCCTGGCTTATAAAAGTTTCTCAGTACGGTAACATCTGAGGGGGTAGCTGCCACAACAAACTGCAGGTTGCTATTATTTGGGGTCTTATCCTGGATTAATAACATGAAAGAGGGAGGTCTGCAGGGAACTCTGTTCGCAGGTTCATGGTAGTCAATTGCTGAGTGAATATCTCCGTCATACAACCTCAGGCAGTGTTTGGAGCTTTAATATGTTTCAAATATGCCACCTTAGTGTGAGAGGTTAAGCTTTATTCCTATGTCCAGGGGTTAGCATATCGTGGCCTTCAAACACTATCAACCAGTAAACCACAGTCAATCAATGTGTCACCTGAACTAACTCAAGGTTAAGAGTTAAAGATTTATAGATACAGTTAACAAATTGAACTTTTTTGAGTGGAATGGAAAGAAATGCAATATATCAAAATTATGTGCAACATTTCCCAGAAGCACCAGAATGCAACTTGAATGTGTCAAAAAATTCAAATCAAGTTACACAGTCACCGTAACTATCGCATAGTGGAAACATAAATTAGGCAAAAATGCATCAAAAGTAAAAGTGACTGCTTTCATTTCATGTATGGTGGACACATCACTGGCATCTTACCTGACAAAAAAATGTATAAAACTCACATGAAGCCCTCATGTCTTGCAAATGTCATTTGAATCATTAAATGATACCAGTATCGTGTCTAATGCCACCCTCTACTACCCTACTCCTACTTGTAAAAGTTGTTCCACTGATACCAATTGATGTTAGCATTACATTAACTTCATTCTGGCTGAACCAGTCGTTAGATGGCAGAGAAGAAGTTTCAGTGGTTAAAGTTTAAAGTAAGAGACAACAACAAACATAAAGCGAACAGTTTCTCTGTTATGTGCATATATGTATGAGTGCCCCTCCCTCCCTGGCTCACACAGACACATGGTTCCATATTACACAGACATCAACACTTACAGTATGTGCAACAAAACCAACTGTAATGGTGAGAGTGGTTAATCAAACACTTGTTGAAGAAACAGAATACAACAACAAACTTCATCTTCATCTTCATCTCCTTGTTTGTCAGTGTTCAGCATGACCTCTTTAATAGGCTTTGGCAGAAATACGTCAAAAGTGGGCTTTATGTCATCAGCACAAGACCTTGGATATGCGGTTGGGCCATGGGGGCTTTTCTCTTGCTCTGCTGTCAACATGTGTCGTCACTGGGAGGGACCAGATCAATGTTTCATTCCTTTTGACTGGAAATGCTCTTCATCTCAGCTGGTTCCTCTTCCTCAGATTCTTCCTCATCGGTTGATTCTTCCGTTTCATCATAATATGTACAGTTCTCCACTTCTGACCTTTCAGCTTCAGATTCTACCTCATCATCATGTTTATCAGTTTCTTTCATGTCATCCCCTTTTTCCATTTCTGCAGTGGGCAATGTGGGGCTTCTTCAGAGGAAGAAGTAGCATGTGGTCTGTATGTTGGATCTATAACCTCATCATTATTTTCTTCCTTTTCTGATCCTGAATCCTCATCATCAGTTGATTCATCCTGCTCATTATGTTCAGCATTGTCCTCCTGGTCATTCTTTTCCACAACATGGTCAACAATTAGCTCACAAGCCTTGTGCACGCTTCTGCCTCCTCATTGTGCTGCCTCAGATTGAAAAGTGAAATGCCCCAACACCAGAAAAGACCTGTTTCTTCTCATAACCACTGGCTCTTCAAGAACCCAGCAGAACCAAATAAAATACAACACCTGCTAGACAAAGAAAGCAGCACTTCAGAGCTTCACATCAAATATCCAAGGTCCAAGTTGTTTTGGAAAGCAGTAGGGTGTGACAATTTGCACTACTTTTTGCTGTGGGATCTTTTTGATTACAGAGGACAACAGAAGATATTAAATTCAAAAAAACACGCATAATTCAATCAAATTAATATATACTATAATACTATACTATGGGCATAGTATTATGCCCATTAACTGATTTTTCAAACCATTTGATGAATAAAAAACATTTTTTATTTTGGGTCATTCTGACCACAAATTAACAGGAAGCTTAAGTCCAGCTGCCGCACCAGATACAGTTCAGAATTATTTTGACAAAGACAAAGTGCATCTCCAATGAGAAGAGCAGTGAGTTTTTTCCCTTTTTATGCTTTTTGTGCTTTTAAAACATGCCGATGGGAATGATTCACATACTTTTAAAAGTGATTTTGAAATGAGGCCTTTTATGATATTTGGAATGTCACTCAAATGACTTGGTTGTGTTGCAACACTTGATGTTAATGTGTACTGGAATACTGAGAAGCAGTTTGGCTGAAAAACACAACATGCTGTTTTCAACAGCAGGAGATTTCACATCATAACCACAGGGATGCTTCACCAAAGACCACTCATCTGGTATTGTATCTATGAGAAGGAAATACTACTTATCAACACAAAGCTACTAATTTGGTTCTGCAACTAAAAACAAGCAGTAGATGTAAATTAATAGGCAGCATCAATATTCATTAACACTGGTAATCTTCAAGTGGAATCTGACGCTGTGGGCCTCATTGGAAATGGAAAACGGTAATATAATTGGATTTTTGTCTCTCTTAAATTACTATTCTTCCTCTTTCTTTCTATGGCTATGCTTACCGCTGTGCTGGTCTCTAAATTATTTTTATATTGAAAGGTCCATAAAGAAAGCGAGGAGTATCTGGCAGACAGCTCCCATCCTCTGCACAGTCGGTTTGAGTTATTGAACTCTGGGAAATGCTATAGAGTACCCACAGCCCAACAAAATTGTATTTAAAAACATATTTAATCACTAGTTTATCCCAAACGCCACCAGTTTAATTCTACAATTCAATATTAACATAATTATGTTCTGTATGTTTGTGTAACTTAACTTTTTATTTTTGATGATGTATTTCATTGTCTTGATATTTGTGTGATTTGGTGAGCCAAGGAGAAATTGCCATCAAGTTGGACAATAATTATTCTATTCTATTGGGATATAGTCACCAAGAGTTTGCATCTCCAGTTTCCATAGTTTTGGGGGGTGCAAACAAGGAACAATGGGCAAAATACTTTCCATGGAGTAAAAAGATCACAGTTTCATCCCAGTTTCAGCCTGGATCATCACAGCCTTCCAAGAGATTCAGATGAAGACAAGATTTAGTCAAATTCACACATCTTTATAAGACAGGACAAAATGGAAAAAGAGATCGTTGGATTGTTTGAAGACATTTTCTTAAGAGAGTCACATTAATACAAAGATCTATCATGGAATATCAGTATTTTATATACTGCAGTTGTTATACCGCATTTTTATAATCTGTAACAGTGTACAAGGTAATATGCCAACCTTGCTTCAAAAACTGTTCGGTTAGTTCATTCAAGAAAAGAAAAAAGAAAATTTTTTAAACAATATTCAACTCCACATGAAAGGATTACAATACCCTGCAAATGCTCACGGTCTGTGTCATAATGCCTTTAAGCGTTTATCTTTACCACACAAGAATACACAAAAATTCAATGCTTTGGGTAACCCATTGGATTTGATCTTGCCTTACAAAATACAAAATGGTTGAAGTAACTGAATGCTTATCAATGAGTTATATAGTCCCAAGGAGAACAGAGACAACACAATGATATTGTGAGACTTTATGTCAAGATAATGAGGAAGAGATGTGAGGAGTTCCACTCCAAATCGCTACACTGTATATGCAGATACAACATAAAATAGAATAGTTGCCTGAGGAGTGTCATTCAGTGTCTGAAATATCTACCCAATCCACTCTGTCAACATTAATTCGTTTTGTCAACTGAGCACTTAATTACAATTTTAGTTGTTTTTTTTTTTGTTGTTGTAAGCAAATACATTTTGGAACAAAACGCGTCATTATTTTTCATTAAATACTGTAAACACTACAATTAGCTGATCCATTTGATCAATTATGTTTGCTTTTTTTTGGTGTATATCTATAAATTAACAACTACCTGCTAATTACCTGCTTCATTGGCTTCTCTCTGGTCCTAACTGCAGACGTTTTAATCAAAGCAATAAATGAATTACAACCTTAACATTGCTAAACATGCAAAGGCCACAAAGTGCATATTTAGGAAGGAAGAAAAGCATAACTGTGAGTCATGTACAGGTGAAAAGGAAAACAGAAAGAGAAAGGTTTAAACTGTGTTGTACTAAATGAAATGCGAGGGAGGCAGCAATCATGATTTTTTTCATGGTTTGTGAAGAGGCAGGATCCCGATAGTATGTACCTAGAAAACTTTGACCTGGCTTGACAATTTGGGAAATGCACATCCTTTGGGGGCGGCTGTGGCTCAGGAGGTAGAGCCGGTCGTTTCCTAACTGGAGGATTAGCGGTTTGATTCCCGGCTTCTCCAGTCAACATGTCGAGGTGTCCTTGAGCAAGACACTGAACCCGGTGATGTCACCGGTGTGTGAATGCGTGAGTGCTTGGAAGTGCGAATGAGTGAATGGCCGGATAATATGAAAGCGCTTTGAGTGTGCTGTAAAAGCATAGAAAGGCGCTATACAAGTAATTTGGGAAATGCACATCCTTTGCCAAGTGTTAGGTAAGATGACAGATACCAATCTCATGTCTTGTCCAGTAAATACATACAATATTAAATGGTTATCTTAGCCTAGCAGTGCAGTTGAGATGCTGTTTATATAGGGAACAAGAATGTTGACTGACAACCTTGTGGTTACATTTTATACTTTTAAATAGATAAATTAAATAGAACAGGCTATAGAGAACTTAAGCTAGCCATCACAGCTGAGCTAACGTCTTTTCCCATAGTGCTTGTGGCTCAGTGCAGTCTCAGACTAAGCATTTCGTTTGGAAATTATAAAGCATGTTATTTAGGTTTACTTTCCATATTATTAAGCTAAATTGAATGCACTGAAGCATTTGTGATTAGAAAACAAAACCTTTATGATTTTAACAAAGTTACTTTAACTAATCACTGTATACTTTTATCAGCACACCAATACTACAGCTCCCATCAAAGATGTACCAGCTCAGCAACGTGGGAACTTATTTTAACTTAGCTTTGTCCATAATATTCACTGATGCCCTGAGTTATTTTCAACTTTGTAATATCTTAGCTAGACTGAACTATTAATCCGGCTATGGGTTCTATCTTGAATAATACTATGATTTATGAGAAATATTATATATTAAAAGTGGCTAAAATAGAAATATTCAGTAATCAGTATTAGATATTTTTACCCTCCTTATCTTGATAGATTGAATGGAACTCACAACATATTACTGATTAAGGCTCCAAGACTGCATTTGTTATTTGTGTTTAGGATACTGTAAATGTGAATTTGATTTTGAAGGACTTTTTCTTACTTCTATAAAAGAACCCATAGGTTCTGATTTTATTTCAGTTCTCTAAATATTTTGGATATGGCTTAGAGCTGTTGGTACAGTAAGTGGATTTTATTCCCTTTGGGCAGATGTTTCCTCATTTGTCATCTTTAATATACAGTAAATTCAGGTAATCTAACAATCTCCTAGCTGTTCATCTTTAGCTGACAGATTATAAATGATATCTAATTTTCATCGTGAAAGTAAATAAATGCATTTTCAGAGATTTTCTTGAGCTGTGTATGGTTGGCACACACCTTCAAATAACAAATGATGAATGGAAAAGTAACTAAGTGGAGTGGAAAAGTATATTCACTCCAAAAGGTCTGAAAATGACAAAACAGCTTCTTACAGCACATGTATGCATGTATTTGAGGGTTCGGGTGTAAGATATTACTTATGTTCTTCTCTCCCTAAAAAGCAAATGAACTGGAGACTGAATACGATGCCTCTGTGTTGTGTTGTGCTGAACCATGGCTCCAAGTTCTCCCCCAATTCTTCAAAATGTCTGTGATTCATTAATCACAGACATTTAGTCAGTAGACTTTTCAAACTGTATTCACTGCCATTCACTTTCACCACATAAGACAACTTACCAGCACTGACACGGGTAATTCCAAAGATTTTCTCCTCTAGATAAGTACGAAAACAAATACCATAGCTTTATAGCCACCCAGATTACAGTCAGATCAAAATCAGTCAAAATAACGTCCGAAAAAATAAGTTAACATAATTCTGACACATAGAATTTTACACTATGTACATTATATTTAAATTAAAATAGATTTGCCGGTTGTCTGATTGGACATGTCCTCTGCAGAGGGATTCTTTTTTCAGCCATCCAGTGTATAATCCACAGAAGCAGCATTCCCATTAAAAGCTCAGTGCCAGCCAATCAGAGTGCAAGTAAGGCTTCCATCGTCAGTCCCCTGCCACTAGTTTTTCGGTTACATCTTCAGACAGGGCCGAGCCCTTCACAACACACATGGCAGACCTCCCAACACTTTGACAAAAAGAAATAAATAGAAAATATATGTAATATTTCTATATATATTTAAAAAACCAAACCCGGAATAGATTCTAACTCTGTGTTCTCTCTATAATAAATAAACTGTGGCCATTTTCCTATTGAGAGTCCACATTACTTCCCTTTTGTCTCTGGTTTTGTGTATTTTTGCAGTCCTTTTTTTTTTTGAGGAAAAAAGTCTTCTTTAAATCTGTACATCTTATGCAAGTAAACAAAATTTTAAAGTGCGTGTTTTTTTAACATGTTATATCCACTATATCCAAAAGTGTTGCAGGCACTTAAGTCCTTCCCAAACATTGTAGGTGTTTTTCGACAGTGGAGCAGGTTGGTTTGGTTATTCCTGGATTCATATGGGTCAGGCTATCTGTATGCCTGATGAGAAACTGGCCATACGTTGCTAGCCCAGGATGTCCAGGTAGACAGGCGTGGCTTTTCCCATGGCAAGCAGGACCTTCTGAATGTCCTTAATGTTCAGTCGCTGCTGTGGTTCCCTCTGCCAGCAGCCCAGCATGATGTCATACACCTCCTTAGGACAAATCCTTGGCCTCTCCAGAACCCGACCCTGGGTTATGCACTCAATAACCTGTAGAAGAGAGAGGGCAATGGAGTGAGACACATGATTTTCTCTGACTGATTGCTTTGGTTTGTTCATAATGAGAAACCAGTGACACTGAGCAGACTATCCTTTGAGGTTTGAATTAATGAAAGTGAGATGAAAGAAATAAACAGAACAGATTCAGTCTTAAATTTATGCAGTATTAAAGGGGAAACAGGTTTCTTTTCTGTCCCACAGCACCACACAACAATAACACTGAGTATCTGTAGGGAGGATGTTTGAGATGGTGATAACAGGGTCATTGATCATTTCTTTGTTGGACTTGTGCTCTAATTAGCCAGATGATTTGCTGCTGTAGTGACAGTGCAGTTTGACTTTGTGTCAATTCCGGGCAATGGTAGACTGAAAGTGAATGGGGTTCTATTTGTGTTTAATGACTGTATTTGCACTATTTTGCATTGTCACCATGTAGAATTTTCTTATACTTAACAGCTACAGTTGATCATTTTTTAGGGTGTAGAGTAATTACCATCACAGTTGAAAAAGAAAACCAGAAACTCTCCCGGTAAGACATATGAATTATGTAATTTCATGCTACCAGAGCCACAGTGTAAGAAAAAAAGCATGTGAAAATTTACTGCTATCTGAAGTGTGGTTTTCTAAAAGGAAGCATGCTGACATTTGGCATGTGTTTTACGCCAGATGCCCTTCCTGACGCAACCCTGATTCAAACCCGGTTCACAGCAGCAAGAGCGCTGCACCTTAACCACTAGCCTACCAGGGAGGGCTTGAAGCTACATCAAACCTAATGAGTTTAAATAAATATAATTTTACTGTGGCTTAAACTCAGAAGAGTCTACAAATCTTAACTAATGCAAATAATTAAAACAAACCTAAAGGAAAACCTGCTGCACCTATTTACCAAGGTAACATATGCTACATCCAGTTTCTCATGTCTCTTCTCACCAAAGGATTACAGACCTGAAACACAGGTAAACTTGAGACAATGACACCCACATGGCGCCCACCGAGGCAGACGTGTTTGTGCGTTCCACTCTCGAATGCCGGCTTTTTCTTTGTTTTCTTCTTTTTTGTGTGTTTTTTACTCTTTCTGCAGTGCACAAATGTCATGCACTGCTAACATACAACAGACAGACATTGCTGGATATCGCCAACTCACAAAGCCACTGGGAATTTACTGGTTTCATACCACTGGAGCTACAATTCATTGTCCGCTCCCGCAACAACAACAACAACCACCATCACCCTCAGGGGGCCCCCGGAGTACCAGGCACAAGCGAGCAGGGTGAAATCAGGAGAGCGACCCGGAGATGAAGACGCAAGCGGGGCAAACAAGGGGGACTCCATGCTAGGCTAAAAGCTCACGCTACTCGACCGCCATTACCCAGCCTCTTCCTAGCTAACGTACAGTCTCTGGAAAACAACCTGGACGAGTTAAGGGCTAGGATTACAGCACAATGGGAAATCAGAGAATGCTGTGCTCTAATTCTCATCGAGACTTGGCTTTCTGACAGAGTCCCAGATTCCGCAATTCAGCTAGGGACTCACTCTGTACATCAAGGTGATCGCACTGCTCCTTCGAGGAAGGTAAAAGGAGGTGGTGTGTGTGTGTTTATCAATAACACGTGGTGTGGAGATGTACAGACGGTTCATAAGCACTGTTTGCCAGACATAGAGTTTTTATTGCTGAAATGCCAGCCCTATTATCTAGTAAGAGAGCATAGTGCTGTGTTTCTGGCTGCTGTGTATGTTAGCCCGAGAGCTAAACCCTCGGTGGCTCTCAGCAAACTCTATGCATCATCAGCGCGTTAGAGACAGTGCACCCCGATGCTGTATTTATCGCTGCAGGCGACTTTAACCAGTGTAATTTACGAACTGTACTCCCCAAATATTACCAACATGTGAACATTCCCACTCGGGGCAAGAACACTCTGGATCATGTTTACAATAACATACGTGGCGCATACAGGGCTGCACCCCGCCCCCACCTTGGACGCTCAAACCATATTTCTTTGTTCCTGTATCCAGCTTACAGACATTGACTGAAACAAACAAACGCTATCACCAAGCAAATTAACCTCTGGACCCCAGAGACTGAAGGCACCCTGCAGGACTGTTTCGCCCAGACAGACTGGGATGTGTTTAAAGCTGCAGCCACCTCAGAGGACTTTTCTGTCAGTGTACAGGATTATGCTGAGTATGTGACCGGATACATTAGTACCTGTATTGGCAACATTGTGCCCACCATACAAGTCAGGAGGTTCCCCAACCAGAAGCCCTGGATAAACAGTCAGGTATGCCACATGCTGTGGAGTACGAAGCTGCGAATTACAGACTGAGGAAAGCCATCACAGCGGCCAAGAGGCAGTACAGAGAGAAGCTGAATGGCTTCTAATCTACTGCTGACTCCGGTCAGATGTGGCAAGGTCTGCAGCACATCACAGACTACAGGACCACCACCAGCATCATCAGCTCCACAGACAGCCTGCCGGATGACCTCAACACCTTCCACACCCGCTTTGAGACCTCCAGCCACAGCACAGAGAGGAGGCACACACACACCGAGACTATCCAACCCCCCACCTCCCCTCCACTAACTGTCTCACCAGGCTAGGTACGCACAGTCCTGGGGAAGATCAACACCCGCAAAGCAGCAGGACTGGACAACATCCCTGGGAGGGCTCTCAGGGCATGTGCCAGTGAGTGTTTTGAGAGAGTGGTGCTGGCCCACATTCAGATCAGTATACCGGACCCCCTGGACCCCCTGCAGTATGTCTACAAGCCTGACAGGGCCACCTCAGATGCCATCGCGATGGTTTCACGTTTCAGCAGATGAACTTTGCCCTGTTGTCCTGAATGAAGATCACCTCATATTATCAAAAGATCCAGAACAGCTATTAAATGGATCTTGTATGCTCTGCACATATATAAAATCACTGCGTTGGATTATTGCAACACAGTGCACATTGAGACGGGATAAATATCCCAGCATCCAAACTCTGCACTGTGCAAAATGGTAGGTTCTGAGTCCATGTCTGCTGCTGTGTGCCTACTGGAGCATATAGTGTGTGGATCATATGCACCTTAATAATGAGCTGAAATCCAAAGATACAGTATCACACATCCACACACAGTGAGTGGAGGAGACTCAACTGGACTCGGACCATCTTACCTCTCTGCGATCAAACTCTGTGTCCTCTTCCCTTGGCTCCAACCCAGCATCCCTCCTCCTCTCTTTTCCCCTCTCTTGTCTTGACTGGAGATGTTGCACCCACAGTGGAAGCTGGCATTGTTGCTGCCTGTCACCACGACAACCAAATGGCAGCTGCGCCGCTTCTCCATTCTCTCCTTATCCAAGTGCAGAGCTGATAGCACTCTACATTTCCGTCTCAAACTGTTTGTCCATGCAGCCATTACTGGAAATGAGATGTGGGTCACATTTGAGGTTGATCTGACTTCTCATATCAACCGAAGAATTCAAGTTTAGTCTTAACTGTAACTGTCTAGACTAAACTGGAATTCTTTAGAGCTTGCATTGCCTAAGGAAAAGGGTCTACATTTTCATGACAGGTCCATTCTTTCAGAAAAACTGGATTTCCTTGAGAAGATGCACCATGAGTAAGATTCTTGCTAATGCTAAAAGTTAGTCACTGAATAGAAGCATTGCTTTTGAAAGTACATAATGGGGAAAAAGTAAAAGTATGCTGAAACTAATAAATCTGAAGTAGGGCTTGAAATCCCCTTGTGACTCACTTTAAGAGGTAAATGAACAAAAGTTGAGGGAACATGAGATGTAAGGAGAACTAATGGGGCAGTGTAGCTTCAGGTGTGGGTGCGACGGCTCCCTCTTTCATACAGGTGGTGCCAGGCTTTTTATTGTCCATGCTCTCTTTATTTTCGCTCAGTAAGGGAAGTGAGCGCTTCTGCAGGTGCAGGCCTAATCTGTGTGTGCCCACCCTCAAAGACCCCCCCCCCCCGCCGGCACGGACTGTTCGCCTCCCTACCCTCTGGGTATTATATTCTTATATATTTTTATTATACAGCTGCATTTGCTGCTTAAAGTGCCTTAGATTTTCTGTTACTTATTTATCTACTTTATATTTCATTTGTATTTTGTGGCATTCATGTGGACAGTAAGGTAAAAATTTCATTGCACAGGGAAACAGATTTTCTAACTGTGCATATGACAAACACTTTGACCTTTGAATGAGGATCAACACCTGCAAAGACAATATGGAGCCTCTTTGCATAAGTTTCCATACTGCAAAGACTACAATCAACAGCAGCAACACCGGATCAAGCAGTTGAGAAAATATTAATGTGACATTGTGAATGAATGAGTGTGAATACAACAGTTTTAACACAGTAGTGGTGTTGTTCTCTATATGTTACTGAATTTCTTATTACAGCCTTTAAACCACAGTATTGTCATTATATCCTCTGACATTTAGCTAGAGTACCATTTTCAGTCAGCCACCACAATAATACATGGCAAATAAATAACTTCGAGCTGTTTTAGGTTAACGCAAATAATAAACATATGATTAGACTTGCAACGGGAGATTTTGGTTACCTTATTGACCATACATGTGTTAGCATGCCTGTAAAAAGGGTCCCGGAGAGAACCAAAACAGCACAAGACACACAGGCCATAACAGCAGAACTGGCCTCTGAGGATCTGGTATCAGAAACCTTACAAGAAGGGCTGCAGTATACTATTTAACAAATTGTCTCTTTTCAGTTAGAATTCACACAAGAACAGAATGTTTACAAGAAACAGCAAGAGAATTGTTCAAATGCTATGGCAGAATGCACAAAGTAGAAAAGTTAAGACAATCATAAGATGATTTGGGTGTGTGTTTTGTTTGAAATAATCACTGAATGTGTAAGAATCTAAATCATAGTGAAAATGCTGAATCACAGAGAAAGGGGAAGTAGGCACACATCCCTGAAAAGAGGAAATACACAGGTGTGTGTATGATAGGCAGAGAGAGAAGAGACACACAGCTTAAGAAAGTAAAAATGATATTTTCAAGCCTAAAAATAAAGATTTGATTATTACTGTTTAATCAATGTCTAATTAATGATAATCAATGTTTAGTTAAGTATTGTATTCAAAATATGAAGATCCATGTTTTGATTTTAAGGCATCGATAGTTTTGTGTGATCAGAGTGTAATTCTGATTGTTTAGTTAAAAGCAATGATGGGATTTTGGTATTTCAATCAGATCTGTACAGTAATGACAAGGAAAATGTTATGCTCAAAAAAACAGGAAGCTGCAAAGAAGATGAAGACCATAATCATCATATACAGTATTGTTCAAAATAATAGCAGTACAATGTGACTAACCAGAATAATCCAGGTTTTTAGTATATTTTTTATTGCTACATGGCAAACAAGTTACCAGTAGGTGCAGTAGATTCTCAGAAAGCAAACAAGACCCAGCATTCATGATATGCACGCTCTTAAGGCTGTGCAATTGGGCAATTAGTTGAAAGGGGTGTGTTAAAAAAAATAGCAGTGTCTGCCGTTGACTGTACAAACACAAAACTATTTTGTACAAACGTTTTTGTTTCTAGGATTTAGCAATCCTGTGAATCACTAAACTAATATTTAGTTGTATGACCACAGTTTTTTATAACTGCTTCACATCTGTGTGGCATGGAGTCAACCAACTTGTGGCACCTTTCAGCTGTTATTCCACTCCATGATTCTTTAACAACATTCCACAATTCATTTACATTTCTTGGTTTTGCTTCAGAAACAGCATTTTTGATATCACCCCACAAGTTCTCGATTGGATTAAGGTCCGGGGATTGGGCTGGCCACTCCATAACATTAATTTTGTTGGTTTGGAACCAAGACTTTGCTCGTTTACTAGTGTGTTTGGGGTCATTGTCTTGTTGAAACAACCATTTCAAGGGCATGTCCTCTTCAGCATAAGGCAACATGACCTCTTCAAGTATTTTGACATATGCAAACTGATCCATGATCCCTGGTATGCGATAAATAGGCCCAACACCATAGTAGGAGAAACATGCCCATATCATGATGCTTGCACCACCATGCTTCACTGTCTTCACTGTGTACTGTGGCTTGAATTCAGAGTTTGGGGGTCGTCTCACAAACTGTCTGTAGCCCTTGGACCCAAAAAGAACAATTTTACTCTCATCAGTCCACAAAATGTTCCTCCATTTCTCTTTAGGCCAGTTGATTTGTTCTTTGGCAAATTGTAACCTCTTCTGCACGTGCCTTTTTTTTAACAGAGGGACTTTGCGGGGGATTCTTGAAAATAGATTAGCTTCACACAGACGTCTTCTAACTGTCACAGTACTTACAGGTAACTCCAGACTGTCTTTGATCATCCTGGAGCTGATCATTGGCTGGGCCTTTGCCATTCTGGTTATTCTTCGATCCATTTTGATGGTTGTCTTCCGTTTTCTTCCACGTCTCTCTGGTTTTGCTCTCCATTTTAAGGCATTGGAGATCATTTTAGCTGAACAGCCTATAATTTTTTGCACCTCTTTATAGGTTTTCCCCTCTCCAATCAACTTTTTAATCAAAGTACGCTGTTCTTCTGAACAATGTCTTGAACGACCCATTTTCCTCAGGCTTTCAAATGCATGTTCAACAAGTGCTGGCTTCATCCTTAAATAGGGGCCACCTGATTCACACCTGTTATTTCACAAAATTGATGACCTCACTGATTGAATGCCACACTGCTATTTTTTTAACACACCCCTTTCAACTAATTGCCCAATTGCACAGCCTTAAGAGCGTGCATATCATGAATGCTGGGTCTTGTTTGCTTTCTGAGAATCTACTGCACCTACTGGTAACTTGTTTGCCATGTAGCAATAAAAAATATACTAAAAACCTGGATTATTCTGGTTAGTCACATTGTACTGCTATTACTTTGAACAATACTGTAGCTGAGCACTGTGAACTATGTCGCCACCACAACAGATTGCTGGTCTGCCAGACAACATAGCTATTTAGGAGTCACCTGTCACTGGATAGATGACACCTCTCCGGAGAGGCACTCTGCTCTCCAGAAACATTTTGGAGACGTTATGAAACAGGACAAGTACAGACTTCAATGGACAGTCAGGACTGCAAAAAAGGGCATTGGTGCAAGCCGGCCCTCCATGGAGGACCTGTTCACCTCACGGATCAAAAGGAGGGTGGAGAAGATCTCTGCAGACCCCTCGCACCCGAGACACAAACTGTTTGAACTCCTCTCTTCTGTACGGCATTACAGGTCACTGTGCGCCTAGACAACCAGGCACAAAGACAGTTTCTTCCCCTGGGCTGTCACTCTGATGAACGCTTGACCCACAACAGTATGACTGGACAATAACCCTCAGTGTAATACCTGTAAATATACCCTGTACAGATTATACAGCTTCGTACAAGTCTCTATTTTTAAGTACTCTATTATAAGCTGCTACTTTTCTCGCTTCATGCACACACCCTCATTATGGACAACACACGATGAAATGCATATGATGTCGCTTCAAGTTACAGGCGATCGATCTGGCTGTCAAAATATCTCATGTTACAATGTGGACACCTGCCGCTATGTACAACATGTTTTTTCATCTTACATTTAGTGGGTGCAGTTTATAGTCCAGAAATTACGGTACCAGAGTCAAATTCCTCGTGTGATAAGCTGCTACTTTTCTCGCTTCATGCACACACCCTCATTATGGACAACACACGATGAAATGCATATGATGTCGCTTCAAGTTACAGGCGATCGATCTGGCTGTCAAAATATCTCATGTTACAATGTGGACACCTGCCGCTATGTACAACATGTTTTTTCATCTTACATTTAGTGGGTGCAGTTTATAGTCCAGAAATTACGGTACCAGAGTCAAATTCCTCGTGTGTCCGACACACCTGGCCAATAAAGCAGATTCTGATTCTGAGTAGTCTTTTCACCAAATACGTTTTTAATCTTGAGTAATATTTTGGATGACTACTTTTTTTTTTTTTACTTCTACTTGAGTAATATTATTTTGAAGTACAGCTACGCTTACTTGAGTACAATTTTTGGCTACTCTACCCACCTCTGTTTGTTTTGTGACCAGTGCTCTTATTAAAGAGAGTGTTCCGCTTTTACTCATCTGGCCAAATAAAGTGAATGGAGAAGTATACGAAATATAAATGGCGAGTATAAAAAAACAATAAAAGATATCAAGAAGCCTTTTGCACCATCAGTAGATAAATTTGTCTATTAATGTTCAAAAAGGACAAGGTTTTCAAGAATTTCCCATTCATTTGAATGGGATTTTTTTTTTTTTTTTTACTGAATTTATTAAAAACTATAAATGTTACAAACAAGAAAAATACAAGCAAGCATGTTCTTAAAAAGCTGAACATTACCTGAACGGGTATTCTATCTGAAAGTATGCTGAAGAAATTAGGTGACAAAAAACGGATGGAAGAACCCAGAATAATAAATAAATGCCAGGATAACATTGTGTGTATGCTTAAGCATACACACAATAAATGCCAGGATAATATAGTGTGGATGCATTACTGCATCCACACAATAAAGATTAGGATAACAATACTGTAGATGCATTACTGCATCCACACAACAGGTCTGAATAGCTGCATAATAAGTACAGTATTCCACTCTAACACTACCTGAAGACAGAAAAAGGATGGCAGATTTTCTCTTTTTGGCTATGACATAGCAAAACAAATGGTCATGCATGGTATGGTACGGTGCTCATCTCGTTACATTGTCATTAGGTGCTGGCAATGAAATTTAATTAGCTGAGTGTTTCACTTAGAGTATCTCAAAACACTGTCTCCACAAGACATATTGAAATAAGGAAAGCCCAATTTGTGTCAAACCCAATAACATATTGATCTCTGAATTGAAATACTAAGTGTAATGCATGCCACGTGCAAGGTCAGTTTAATTTTCTCAGTATGCTTGCCTTACAGGAGTAATTCTAACTGAATTTTATTGATTCAAAGCAGAGCATCCAATGAAAAAGTAAACCAATCATGACTGTTATGTGATGCAGCCTTTTGTCTGGTGTCAAAGTGACATCAATTTATCACCTCATTGGGCCAGTCTCAGAGAGAAAAGAAACAAGAGGCAGTAGATTAATACCTAAAATGGCAATGTTCATTTAAATCTACTACTAGAAAGCTCATGATTTCATTTTGTAATAAACACTTTTGCTTGTTTCAAAATAGAAAAGCAGAGATGTAATACTAGATAACCTGGAACTGTAATCTTCAATGTGTGCATGAAGGTCTGCCACACAGCCTTTGATAATACTACAGTATTATATGCAATATATGTTTTGGAGGTTTATCCCCTGGCTTCAAGCTCTTTGTACAGTACCTCGTTGTTACCCATCTGAAACCAGGGCTGCTTCCCATAGGTAAAGATCTCCCACAGGATGACTCCAAAGCTCCAGACGTCACTTTCAGTGGAGAACTTCCTGTACATGATACTCTCTGGGGGCATCCAGCGAATAGGCAGCATGGTATGTCCTCCAACCTGGGGAGAAGAGAACAGAGGAGAGATGGAAATGTTGTACTGCAGCTACTCAGATTATAAAATTCAGTCCCCAAAACAGCTCCTTGGCATCTGGGGATTAAATGTCCTTGCATGTAACTGATCCAATGAGTTGAAGGTCTCATGAATGCCCACTGTGCTGCTGGATGCTGACAGCAATGCAATACAGGAAAATGCTGACTTATCTGTGACTGACATTTGTATTGAATTGCAGAATATGAAATTCTTTGTGTATTAAACAATCCATCAGCAACCCTGGCCTCTGACTGACACTGGACAAGAGGCAGGGTACACCCTAGCCATGTCACCAGTCTATCACAGGGCTGACACACAGACAATCACACACACCCACACTCCTGGGCAATATAGAGTCATCAATCATCTTAAGTTACATGCACAGAAAGGAACCTGTAACCTTCTTGCTGTGAGGCAACAGCGCTAACCACTGCGTCACTGTATCACCCCACTCTTTTGTTGTTGATGAAACATTGCAGTCAGCAATCCCCTCTCTGCAGAAGTACCAATGTTAAGCAGGGGATAAGAGTCACAAACATGGAACTGAATGTGTTTTTATACGTCTGTTTCAACCAGCAGGTTAGGAAAGGTACTGGATGAATGCAGGTATGCAGGTGTAAAAGTTCATATGGCTCCTAAGGTACATTTAAATATGAATGTTTGAATTGTGTTCTTATCTGCTCACAGTATATTAATTGCTACATATGAATATGTAATCCTTTTGCATTAATAGGAAGATTTACATTAAGCTGGGTAACATCAAGGACAAAGATATCATATTTCTTCAAACCAGCAGAACCTGGAATTAAGTCATATTTTTTCCATACTGAACCTAACACAATAAGGTTACATACTGAACACATGACCACAAATGTAGGTACGTGGCATCAATTTCCACTCTGTGTAATACAACACAAATTTTCCTCTAGTGCAGATTAATACATCCTACCTGAAAACAAATTCTATATTTTCAATTCCCAGTGTGAATGTGTTTATAATTCTGGAATGTACTGAATTTGTTGTTCTATAACTTCTGTCATTTTAATTTAGTTAAAGCACTGTGTGGCATTTAAGTACTGCATCCCCCCACGCCAAAAAAACCAAAAAAAAACAAAAAACAAATCATGTCTTACTAATTACTTTTCAGTTCAGTAGCATGCTCATTGCACATTTCCTTTCAAAGTCAAACACAATTTCTGCATGTCATTTTAATGCAGCAGATGACTCTTCCAGACGTTTTAAAAAACAAGATTTTTCAATCCGCCAAAATGTTGCTCCTTCCTGGGCATTTATTCAGAATGTCTTCTAGTTTGTTAACATTTTTCTTCACTTTCAATTGTTGCTGAATATAAGGCCTCACATTGCATACCTTTACCTGGTCTTCATCTGTAACCTCTCCTTGACTGAGCTTTTGGTCAGAGGGGTTATAAGTATACAGTATGAGCATGTGTATTTCAAAATTCAGTTTCATCATGCATGTTGACGTGGTGCTATGTGGTGTCAGACTAAAAATGTTCTATAACATTACTCAATACTCATACATCAGTATGATGTAGACATACTGTATATTTGTTTCAATGCATGCATCCCCCACCCCCTTCTCATGCCTTGAAATTGGGGCAGCCCCTTGTTCGCATACATTCTATGGTCCATGGTCATTGTAAGTTCTTACTAGTTCAATTCAAACACGTAATATGTGAAATAAAGTTGTGCCAAGAGTAGTTTGACCATTTGGGAAATATGACTACTTTTTGTCAAGACCTAGATGAGAAGATTGATACTATTGATACAAATTTTTAATCACTTTGAAAAAGTGGGGGGGGGGTTTTAATGTGGAAAAAAAGGGGGGGGGGGGGGGTATTTACTAACATTTAGCATCTTATTTTTGATGCTAAACAATGAAAATGCATATGTTCTTATTTACCAAGGAGCTACAGTGGGCTACCACAAACAAAAAAAAGAACTGCAATTTGCCCATTAAATAAGGGAGGAAAAAATGGAAATACAGTATATACAAATAATGTAAACAGATTTCCTCAACACCTGATTTATCACAGTTGCAGCAGAAGGAACTGTGGCTGTGAAGAACTTGTACAGGCTTTCAGGTCACACCATGTTTCAGTTGCTGAATGACATAAAAGATGATTTGAATCCATGATTGCAGTTTGGAAATACGTTTGTTGGTTTCTTCAACAAGTATTAAAGTTCAGTAGAAAGTAAAGTGACACTTTCTTCTATGCTCCCTCTCAGTCCACAAGTGCACAATACATGCACCAGGTCATTACAGGTGCAACAGCATTGAAACATTAACACAGCTGAGTCTGTCCTCATTTACATAATCACTGTTGGTAAATGTGCTGCTAAACTGACAAATAGCGGTGACACATTTTGTGCACCTGGTGTTAATTAGTGACAGATTGAGTAAGTATCCCTTTTTGTGGTTTTTCCATTGATCTAAAAGTCCAGTGCTGAGCACAGACTTTTTTTCAGGCCCACCCCTTTTTACATTAATACATTTAAACACTTTTACACCACAAAGCCAGCCCAGTACAACACATCTCAGTGTACAGTTGAAAGTGTCATTTTCCCTGAATCTTCCAGTCACAATTTTATTTCTGTATAAGCTGCCCAAGGGGCAGCTGGTGTATTAGCAGAAAATCAAAGACATGAAAACTCCAATACCACCTAATTTTTTTCTTCACCTGCCAGCTCACTCTGTGGTCCCAGCCTAAAGAAGTATGATCTACCACCACCCTGGAAGACAATCAAAGCTCCTGCTGTTTTACTTCAGTGGTAGGACAGATAAAATACAGTAGTAAATAAGGTAGACATAAGAGAGATGTGTTGAAGAAGTTGCCCTTTCTCTACAACTTCAATACACACCTTATTTAATAACAGTCCCAGGGTGAATTTTGTTACAGTGAGGTGGGTTGGCAGCAGTTTCCTCTCTTGAATTCGACGTTAACCTCACTTGCCAGTTCTTTGCTGCAAGCTAATAGTCAAACGAAACACTGACTTATGCCCGAGCTCGTCTCATTAATCATGACATGTTTGACTATTGTACACAACACTAAGTTGATATTGATGCTGAGACCAATTGCCTCCATTGAGTAAAATCTGTGGGTTGAGCCAAGCTAGGTGCATAAAGTGTTAAGTGAAGGAGGGACTCTATATTAATCCATCCCCCTGTGGAGCTTCATAAGGATTAAACAGAATGAATTAACTTCCCGTTAGTCTAAATGACTTATCTAAGGTTCACTCTGTCCATTGCACACAAGGCCAAACCCCATCAGATGCATACTAATGATTCAACCGCCACTGCTGTGGCAAGCGGCTAGGGATCTTTTTTTCGGGTTGCTGTGTAAACTGGATTACTGCTCTGCCTGTCCCACCGTGGCAAGGAAGTTGTCAGATTAACAGCATGGACAACACAGCAGCATGGCATGGGGATAGATAACTGGCTCAGTTGGGCTCTTCAATGGCTACAGGGAGCCCTTGGAGGCCTCAGACATCTTAAAGGGCCCTGATAACCATCTAGACAAGGGGTATTCAACTAAAATTTAAAGAGGTCCAGTTAGAGAAAATTTCTTGAAGCGAAGGTCCGGAAGATCCTAATGTCTAACTATTTAGTATGATATATATTTAAGTAGCCTAGTAGTATCAACATCTGCATGTAATCAATGCCTAACTGTCAAATCAAATGAATTCAGTACAATTCAAAAACCTTTTGACAATATTTATTGTCACATAAGATAGAACTAAACATATATGTATGACTGCTGATATGTACTGTATAATGTTCTCTCATTTACTAAAGAAAAGTAGGGCTGCATTTCAAAATAAGAGAAAATTAATAAAATGTGAAAGCTGTGCATGTTCAAATAAAGTGCTTAACTTCAGAAAAAATAAAATAAAGGGAGGAAAAGCTTGAATTGCACAATTTCTGTTTCACATCTTGACTCAACAGTCTCAACCAACTTTACAGATAATACATCTCAACACATTTTAACAATTGAACAGTTTTAGAGGCTCACTTTCTTCCCCTCTTATATTCAACTCCCCCACTTTTTTGCTCAATGAGGGAATTGATCTCTAGCTTGTCCTGCCAGGATTTTAAATCTGGGCTTGAATGGAGTCAGGGCCATTCTCATACACATGTGGAAAGGTGCTCATTGGTGAGCTTGGAACAATATTTAATTTTGATTATGTTCATTGTGGAGAAAACTGCCTCACAGTTGTGTGTGGAGCCAAACATGGTCAAGATGTATAGGGCTACTTTCTTCAGACCTGAGAAAGCTGTCTCAGGGACCATTTGGAGCCAGAAAGTAGAAGGGTCACTTCTTACAAAGTGCTCTTTCAGGGCCACATCTGTTTGGACATCAATCAATTGCATCTGGAGAGGCCCAGCATTTGCCCATTTATTTAAAGTGCTTTATGACTTCCTTTGAAAACCCCCTGACATCTGTAATGAGAAATGGGTTCTGAATGAACATGATGAGCTGCTGTCCAAAGCTGAAGCTGTCAAAACGGTTGCTGAAGTTTACAATCAGCTTATTAATAAAGTCAACAAAAGAAGACACATCTCACTGTCCCTGAACCTGTTCCTGCACTGCTGGGAAGTGTGCACAGTCTCCCTGCAGGTCTTCCTTGAACACCTCAAGTTTCCTCTGTAAGGAGCAGACAGCTATCATCAGTTCGCGAATTGAATTGTCTTTGCCTTCTAGCCTCAAATTCAGTTCATTCAGATGTGAAGTGATATCAACCAAAAAGGCCAGACTGTCCATCTGCTTCTCATTTTCTAAAAAGAGAGAAAACTGTGTTGCCTTCTGACTTAGGTCTGCCAAAAAAGATGCTACTTCCCTCCTAATGGACCAAAAGCACGCCAACACTCTGCCTTTGCTGAGCCATCTCACATTGTTGTGCAGCAAAAGATCATCAGCATTGGCATCAACTTATCTGAGGAATTC